AGCAATTATTCACAAATCTTGATAACATTGTAGAGATGCAAGGAAACACTCAATTTTTTATTTTCTCATTTTTCCTCATCTGTTAAACCTGCTCCCTGACTTCCCCCTCCCATTTTTTTAAAATCTTTTTATAGGTTTTCATTTACATTGTTTCCTCCCTGACTTTTTAGGAGCACAATTTCTTTAAAGAAGCAGAAAATGACTCTGTGGTGTATTGTTGTTGTTATGTGACATTACTATGTTATTATGTGTTGTTATTATTAAGTTGTTGTTGTTATGTGCCCTTGAGTTGCTTGGGACTCATAGTGACTCTATGTACAATAGCCCTGAAATCACCTGTGTCTTGTGCCAACCTTGTTGTCTCTGAAGTACTTCCCCTCATTACTCCAGTCACTGAATCAATCCATCTCATTGAGGGTCTCCCTCTCTTGCACTGTCCCTCCACCCTTCCAAGCATTACGCCCCTCTCCAAGGACTTTATCGCAACATGCTGAAAGTATGTCAGACAAAGCCTCAGAATCCTTGTCTCCAAGGGGCAGACTGGTTCCACCCTCTCTAGGACAAAACGGTTTGTACATTTTGGTATTTGTAGCAAAACTGCTACAAATTTTATTTTGAGTATGATTTTCTTTCTTATAGAAACAGTGGTGGACTGCAATTATGACAATAAGGCAGTAGGACTGCTGGAAATGACTATTGCTGGACAGCATAGAATAGAAAACCCACATCTCCTCTCCCTGACCCACATATTTCCCTGCTTCCTTCATTTGACTTGTAACAGCATCAAAGCATTTTCTTTCATTCTTCTCCCCCCCCTATGTTTCCCTTTTGATTGTTCCTCAGCCCCACATTTCACACAATATTCCTCTTGTTTTCTATCCATTGCCATCAAGTTGATTGCAACTCTTGGTGACTCTAGGTGTTACAGAGTAGGACTGCGCCACAGGACATTTTTTTTAAATTGATATTTTAATGAAAGTTTACAGATAACTTGGATTTTCATTAATTCATTGTTATACATTTTCCTCCCTGGTCACTCCTCCCCCCAGTTCACTTTTCTCTTTGAAAAGAAAAAAAAATTATTTCATTGTTGTACAATCCCCCCTTGCACCCCTCTCCCCCACTCCCCATCCACTTTAATAGGCAGCTCTTATTCTGACTCTTGTCATGCCAATTGCACCTAATCATATATCTCGCCACGGGACTTCCTTGTCATTGGGCTCTCATGGAAGCAGGTCCTCAGGCCTTTATTCCTCAGTGCCACTAGGTAGATTTGAACTACCAACCATTAGCTCACTGTTAAGTGTGGAACCATTTGTTCTAGAACTTTCTTTCCCCCCCCCTTCCTTTTTTTGTACTTTCTCTTAATCTCCATCCCTCTTCAACTTTCTAGTCCTTTACCCCAGAAAATACTGCGGAGAAGCCAAGGCAAAATGCAAGTCAAAAGTAAATTTTGGGGACGGTCTTCGGCAGTATTGTAGAATTGCCAAGAATAGGCAATTTTCCTCAAAGAGTATTAGAAGAAAGCTAATAAATACCAGGACTAAAGGCTGAAAGCAGCAAAACGACATCATGCTCTAGTACATATTTATGTACTGGTATGGAAAAATCAAGGGAACCCTGATAGCCTAGTGGTAAGAAACTGCACTGTAATCCTGAAGTCAGGTGGTTCGAATCCACCAGTTGCTCTGTACAAAAAGTATGGGCAATCTCCTCCTGTGTGATTAACTGCCTCTGAAAACTCACTGGAGGGTCAGCTATGGGTTAGTTCTGACTCCATGGCATACAGCAACAACAATGGGAAAATCATAGTGAATCATCACGACATGAGATGTATTTATAGATATGCATTATCATAGCTAAGTTTGGGGATTAATGGTAAGAATTTAGGAGTGATTTTATAATGATTGCTGTGGATATTTTTTTGAAATGTTAAGTAATGTTTAAATCATTAACACTCTTAAGAATATTTTAAACATGAGAAAAAATTATGTGAACTTGTTTTATCCGAATATATATATTACGTGTGAATAAAGATTTAAAATTTAAAAACAAGTATGTGAACTGGACACAGAGATCATGTTCTTCAGAGATGCCAATGGCTATATGACTACGTAGTTTCCCATTTCCCCCATCTTGTGAACTGTTTTTGCAACAAGAAAATAATTACATTTTTCTTTGTTTTTAGGGGAAAGAAAATAATCCTGAGCTTCAAGACTATGTTTTAGAAAAACATGGTAGTCCCTGTATCAATTGATCTCACTGAGGATCAATGAGAGGCTAATAATAGTAACAACACTCATCCCTGATCTTGAGGGAATAACATGATCCAGAAGGATAACATATGCAGAAGTCTTTTGAAGAATCCACGCTATAGCCAGCCCAAGAGTCTTTCCCTGTAGAAAATGGTAACATAAACATTCAGGGCTTCTTAGGCTTCGCCTCTACTCACAAACAGAAGGACATAATGACTGAAGTTTTAATCTGCCAGTAGATTTGCCATAACAGATATTCACCACCTCTGAACCGCCTTCATTTGGAAATAATAGCTCTGATTCCTTACATAATTCTTCATGTGCAGAAAGGTAAAAGCCATTTTAGATCATTGTCCTTGAAAATCTCTCCTATTTTAGAGTTTTCTAGAGAAACAGTACCAGTAAGATAGATCCTGGTGTTTATAGCAGCATTATTCACCATCAAAAGAACATGGAAACAACTCACATGTCTAACCACAATTGAATGGCTTGAGAAATCATGGTACATTCACATGATGGAATACTATGCAGCAATCATTTTGTAAATTACTACCTAACTTCAGAGGGACTGGATAGCATTATGCTAAGTGAACTAATGCAGTCTCATAAGGATAAATACGGTTTAAGACCATTATTGTAGAGCGTGTATGAGGACCTAAGAGGGTGAGGGTGGGAGCAGAGTGTTGAAGATGGGTGGGGGGTGGAGGATGGAGGAGTGGTTGATCATAGGATCACACAATTTGATGGGTGGAGGGAGGGGTGGGTATAGGAAATGAGAAAGATCCAGTGTGAAAAACAATGTATAAGAACTTTGTAAATAAACCAGTATAAAATAAAAATTTTATTTTAAATAAATTTCTTTTAAGAAGTGTTGGGCTAACTTTTTGATTGGCAAGTTCAAATCTACCAGACAGTTTCCAGGGAGAAAGATGATGCAGTCTCCCCCAATTAAGACTGACAGCAATAGAGACCTGGTAGAGAGTCTCAGAATGACAAGAATGCTGTGGGGTTAGGTTTTTTGTAATATATGTTGTTGTTATTGTTATGTGACATAATAACATAATAATGTCACCTGTAACCCAGAAGTGACTCTATGTACAGCAACTCTGAAGACTACCCTATTCTGAGCTAGTTTTACTAATTCCAACATATCAACCCCCATTGCCCCAGTTACTGTATTAATCCATCTCATCTGGGGTCTTACTCTCCTGCGCTATACCTCCACCCTTCCAAGTATGATGTCCTTCTCCAAGGACCAGTCCCTCCTGGACACGTGCCCAAAGTATGTGAGATGGAGCTTCAAAATCCTAGCTTCCAAGGAGAAACTTGGTTTCACCTTTTCCAATACAGAATGACTTGTTTTCTTGGTGGTCCATGATATATTCAAGACTCTTCTCCAGCACCACAACTTAAAGGCATCGACTCTTTTTCTGTCATCCTTAGTCACTGTTCAGCTGTCTGATGCATAGCAAGTAATTGTAAAAACCAACGCCTGGATTGTTGTTGTTGTTGTTGTTATATGCCATCAAGTCGCTTGCAACTCATAGCGACCCTATGTACAACAGCCCTAAACTCTGCTCTGTCCTGTGCCAATCGCACTGTCTCTGACACTCCCATCCCGATTATCCCAGTCACTGAATCAATCTGTAGACTAGCATCACTGCTTTTCAATACTCTAGAGAGGTCCCTGACAGCAGATTTTTCCACTGCCATTTGTCTTTTGATTTCCTGACTACTGGTGCCAAGAGTGTTGACTGTGGAGCTGAGCAAGCTGTAATTGTTAACAACCTCAATCTCTTCTCCACCTATCATGGTGCTGCCAATTAGCCTAGATGTGAGAATCTGTGTCTTCTTGATGTTGAGCTTCAAACTATATTAAAGAGTACAGTCCTTGACCTTTCAAGTCCTCTTCAATTTTAGCAACCAAGGTTGTGTCATCTGCATAACATAGACTGCTCATGAAACTTCCTCCATTCCTGATGCTGCATTCCTCCTCATAAAGCCCAATTTCCTGAATGATCTGTTCTGCATACTGATTGAAAAGGAATGAAGACAAGATGCATCCCTGATACACTTCTTTCCTGATTTTGAACCATTCAGTGTTTCCTTGCTCTGTTCTGAGGACTGCTTCCTGATCCAAGTATAAGTTTCGTATTAGCACAATCAAGTGTTCTGGGTTTCCCATTTTCCTCAAGGTTAGCCTCAATTTGTTGTCCAAATCAATATAAATAGATAGGTCTGTAGATATATAGATTTCAGAGGAGAAAGAGAGAGACCCTGGTTTGTTTTTTAAGAATTAGCTCAAGCAAATTGTGTACAAGGCAAGTTCAAAGTGCAGCCACAGGCTGGAAATTGTGGTAGCCCTGTTCTCCATGATCCATAGGTAAGAGACAAGCAAGTATCTGGAAGCCTAGTAGCTCAATATCCATTAGGAGGCAAAACGGAGTAAGAGCAATTCTGGCAAGATGCCTGAAAACAGAATATTTCATTGGAAAATCCTCCTTTGCACTCCTCACTTGTTAAATAAGGGCTGCCCACATTATGGAGGATAATTTGTTTTACTTAAGGCCAACTGATTGAATCACACTTAAACACTTGATAATAACATAAGGCCAACTGACTTAATCACACTTACACTTCATAACAACATTTAGACTAGTGTTTGACCAAAAACAGGGCACCACTGGCCTAGCCAAACTGACACATAAGATCAACTATCACACCTCCCTTAAATCAAAAGGAGGCCTAAAAGAAGCAACAGACAAGACCTCCTCAGGCCAGTGATCGCCTCCCCACAAACACTCGCCTGACTGCATTCTGCACATCGGGATTCCTGAGACTGTAGATAATAGGGTTCAGCATAGGGTTAACGACAGTGTTAAAAATTCCAACAGCTTTATCCTTATCTGAGAGCTTGACTGAGCCTAGTCGCATGTAGTTAAAGATACCTGAGCCATAGAATATGGTAACCACAGTGAGGTGGGCACCACAGGTGGAGAAGGCCTTCTTTCTTCCCTCCACTGAACGGATTCTCAGAACTGCAGCTGCCACATGGGCATAGGAAGTTACAATGAGAGCCATGGGGGTGCCTGCCATTATGAAACCCAAGGCAAAGAGCAGCAGCTCATTGACTTGGGTGCTGGAGCAAGAGAGCTGGAAAAGCTGTGGAAGGTCACAGTAGAAGTGATTTATCACATTGGGACCGCAGAAATGGAGTGTGGACATGGCCACAGTGTGGGTCAGTGCATTGCTAAAGGCACAAACCCAGGACATGGCCACCAATATCCTCTGAACAACCTGATTCATGCGAGTGCTATAGGTGAGAGGTCTACAAATGGCCAGGAATCTGTCATAGGCCATGGCTGTCAACAGGAAACAGTCCACTCCAACCAGGAGATGGAAAAAGAAGATCTGTGTAAGGCAGGCTTCATAAGGAACCGTACGCTTGTGGGACAAGAGACGACTCAACATCGAGGGAATAGTGACAGTGATGCAGCCAACATCCAGTACTGACAGGTTTCCCAGGAAGAAGTACATGGGCGTGTGGAGTTTGGGCTCCACCAAGATGGCAGCCAGGATGCTGAGGTTGCCCCCAACTGTGAACATGTAGGCCAAGAGGAAGAGCACAAAGACAAGTGGTTGAAACTCTGGTGTTTCCACCAGGCCCAGCAGAATGAACTCAGCAATGGCTGTTCCATTGGCTTCAGATTTTGACTGCATGAGGCCCTGCAAGAAAAAAAAAACCCATGAGTGTAATTTTTTTCATTTCTTTATTCACTAAAAAGAGGTAGACCTCCTTCTATGTGCCAAGACTTATCCCAATCCACCTATTATGGTTCAAATTCCATCAAAAGAGATCTTGAATTCCTATCCTTCTACCTGTGAATGTGACTGTTTTGAAATGGGAATTGTATTTTGTTAGGCTAATAATGTCATGTTGGAGTAGCTGTTATTAGGTGCTATTGAATCAATTGTGAGTCATACCAAATCACTTTTCTAGTTCAAAGAACCTTTGAGAAAATAAATAAGCAAAAAAAAAAAATTGCACTTGTTTGAACATGGCAGGGTAAATCTGGACTATCTCCTCCCATAATTCATCCCGACCCAAAACAAGGAGAAAAAAAATAGTAAAAATGACAGAATTTGTCTTCAAAACAGTAATCAATTCCTGGATCTTCTTCTCTCCTAGCACCAGTCCACCACTTAGATGGAAGGACTTCCAGAGCAGAGGACTTCTGTGGCAAGAAGGAGAGAGAGGAAATCTATGTCTGTGAAGTGAAGCTCAGAGTCAGCCATTTGTAGAGATTTCCCAACACTTACACCCCAGCCCCCTGATTACACCAGAGAGAGGTTGAAACTTCTCTAATCTTGGAGACCAAAGAGAGTTGCTCCTATGCAAGGATGTGATGTGGTTTGTGGGACGCTGCATTCTTGATACTGGTGCTGTCTTTATGAGTTTTCCCCAATAAATGCTTTCTCAGCAGACCTGGTATATATTGAGCTACTCTTCCTTCATTCTTCTAGGTGTTATAGCACTAGTCTGTGCATTGCTGTACAGAGGTAACTCGTGGTTGCTGTGATGCTGAAGATTGTGACAGTGATGTGCCAATCGTGGTAAAGGGTACCCATGGTGGACAGTGTTGGCTGGAGCTTCCCGACTAAATCAAGCCTGGAAGCAGGAGCGGCATCCACTTCCGAAATGGCTTACCTCTGGAAACTCTATGTACGAACGGTGCTCAGGCTGTTCATTCATAGGGTCACTATGAGTTGTCTACAACTCAACGGCATCAAACAACAACAACAACAACAACTCTTCCTTATTTATTTGACAAATTGTGAGGAAATCATCTTTCTAAGAGATCATCAGTGTAGTGTACCTCAAAGGACCTCAAAGGAAAAAGGTCATAATATTTTTGACAATTACAAATGTACTTTTTTCCTTTTGCCTGGAAATTCTACTTCAGGGAATTTATCCAATAGACACACAGGATCACATATGAGAAATTATTGTATGAAGTTATTTGTTATGGCATTATTTGTGATACCAAAAGAATTTTTTAAAAAAAAAATCTATTCTCTATCATTAGAAAACTAGTTAAATTCAATATTCAATAAATTCATCCTTTCAAAGGAATACTGTACCTTAGACCAGAGCAGTTCTTTAGAGGTGGTTTGGAAGGTCTGAAAACTCTTTTGTTAAGTGTAAATTATAACTTACGAAATGAAGTCTAGTACACTTTAGTTTTTATCAAAAGGTAAAAAAATACACACAAATAGAAATGGAAATACATAAATTGTTGATTGCTGTCAAGTAGAGCACAACTCATAGTGACCCTATGAAAGGCCTGAAGCCTTTCTATAACTACTGTCATTTATCAAAATTCATAGAGTTTCCAGAGGCTTGTTGTTTAAGAAGTGGAACAGTTTATTTATAAAAAATATCCAGAAGGATATGAAAAAAAACCAACTGGAGATAATTGGTTATTGGTTTCTTCTGAGGAGGATGATGGGCAGGGGAGAAGGAATTAGGAAAAATAAATCAAAACACAAAAGAAATATTCAATAAACTTTTCAAAATGAGTCAACTAGATGGCCATCCGAGTGAGTGCAAATAAGATAAAATTCATAAGTGAATTAGGAATCAAGATTGCTTGTGAGAGTTGGTGCAGGATCCGGCAGTATTTTGTTCCAACATGTTGTACGTGGACTTGCTACAAAGCAGAGCAGGCTCAGTGACAACCAACAAAAATACCAACACAGCCATAGATACAGAGGGAGAAACTGATGTTTTAATAGAATACTTTCTATCATTTGAAATGTTGTATATTGAATGTTTGAAAAAAATAGACACAAATATATGAAAATGAAATTTAACAAAAATATATGCGAGAACAACTCCAAAACCCACATAATGAAAAACATGGAGGAGGGGGGGGGGAGGAAATACCTGTCAGAACAAGAATTACCTGGTGGCAAGCTTATAAACTATTAAAAGTTTTGTTATTTGTCAATAAGAATATTTTGTGACCCATATGTTTATGTATACATACCTGTGTAGGTTCTTTTTGTGCATGAGAAAATTTAAATGTGCCAATACTTTAAAAAAATTAAGCATACAACTTTCATTAAAACCTAAAGCTAAAAAAAAAACACAAAAAAACCTAAAACTCTTAGAAAAAAATTCACTAGAAAACAACCTGATTTATAACTAAAGAAATTTAAAAAACCAAAATACAACTATACTGTAAAATACAAAATAAATTAAAAAATATCAGAATAATTAAAATAATATCTTGTTATCATTAAGGGATGATCTTACATAAAATCAAATATTATTTAATTCAGGTAAATATATTTAAATATCACACAAATGGATAAAACATAGGAAAGTATTGTCTTACAAGTATTTTATAGAAATCAAGATTCATTCTTGTTTTAAAAGCAAAACATAAACAAAAATCAGTTGTAACTATTTTATGAAGATGCTACAATATTCTTCCTAATTCAAAAGAACAGATTATCCAATGAAATCTAAGAATTAAAGAAAGATACCCAATAGTGTATGTATTTTGCAATCATTTCTCTAGAATCACTGGTGAAATCACTAAGTCAAGAAATACAAAAAGAAATTTTATATATTGGAATGGGAGAGAAAGAAATTATTCAATTGTCTATTAGAATAGCTAATTTGAAAATAAGACTAAGACAGTAAGATAAAAAGAAATATACAAATATCCATATCCTCTGTATACACCATTGACAGGTACTAATAGAACAACGAAAACTACACTATTGAAACAGTTTTTAAAAATGAAATTGTTATAACCTTACGTGAATAAAGCAGGATATAAAACCATGTGTATGTAATTTTATTTCAATACTTGTGCATATATGCACACATACAAATGGAAAAGAGACAAAGGGGCAGGGGGAGAAGGAGAGAAACGGAGAAAACAATTTAGAAGGAAATAATAAGACTGTATCAGTTGTTTAGCTTTCAGTAGTCTGAATGTTTTTAATTTTTTCCTGTCTGCTTTTCTCTACTTTCCAGATTGTCTATAATTAGTACTGATCATTTTTCATAGTATTTTAAGAAGTGATACATCCTGGATACTCTCATGACATGCCTGATAAGCTCCACATCCCAGTAAACTAGGTGGGGAAACTCTTACAGAGCAGTCGGTGAGGAGTTGCCCTGCTAATATGAGATGGCACCTCTCTGGCAGTTCAAATCTACCAGCAGCTCTGAGGGAGAAAGATAGGCACTTACCATGCAAGTTACAGCCTCAGTTAACAGTGAAATAAAATCAACTCTGACTTATAACTCAGTGGAAATGAGATTATGATAATGATGAACATACCAAATAGAGACACTTGACAAAACACCTTCTCCTATGAGATCTATGACTCAGATTATGCAAATATCTTTGCTGTGGATAGATATTCTAGGAACATTCTTTGATAATAATTTGATTTAATAGTTACTGGGAGATTTTCTTTGGGTTGTGCACTGGTGTAAATGTTAGTTCATGTATTCCTCACAGCCTCCTTATGAGACAAGTATCATTTTTAATTTCTAAAATGATCAGAACAAGGAAATAGAATCCAACAGAGCAAGAGGCAGAGCTAACTTTTGACCTAGAAATCTTGATTCTGGAACTCATAATTTCAATTCCTAAACACACTATCTCTGTAGGTTACGCAGGGTGTCTCATGAACCATGAAGGCATGACCTTCCACAATTCTCTCTCAAACTTTTTGTGATAACCTCTTTGGACTCAAAGTCCCACTCATACAGTCACTGTGGCTCTGCTTTTTGTAGTTCCCAAAGTTCTTTGCTTTGCTTACTTGCAGTGGCTCAAATCCAAGTGAGTTCCATTAGTAGCTCATGGCCATAGTGAATAGCTAGCTGCCTTCTCATTTTCCCCTTTAATACATTTTATTTAACCCAAGTTATCAATCTCTGATTTCCTATATCCCCCACCTCATGGTGTTTTCTCTATATGGATTGCCCTCCTGCCAATATCGCATGGCCAATATATTCAAACTTACTTACTACTCACTTTTCTAAACTCTGCACATCTCAAATGACATATATCTCTCCAACATCCTTATATGTTTTATATGGTCTTTATCATTGTACCTTCTAGAACAATCATTTCGAAACTTAACCGAATTCCTTCATTCCAGTTCGAGGACAAGATTGTAATCTAATTCATCATTAGGAACTCTATGCATAAGCTCATTTATTTATGTACCAGATAATAAACAAGTGAATTCTGTAGTTGATAAATAGAATTCCTGAGAAAGAAGATATTACTGTAGGCTACAGTAGAGAAAAGGAGTTTTCTGGACAAGTTAGAATTTGGGCTAGATCTTGAAAGATTGATATGTTTTGCCAGAAATAAAAGGTCAAATGAAGAACCCAAGGTTATGGCTGTAAGAATGACCTCTCTCTTTTTCTAGATGGAGTACACAGGTGTGTAGTGATCCATGCATGGACATACAGCTTCTATATGATTCCCTATCTTTTTTAACAATCAGAAAAACTATGCCTTAAAAATAAGTAAGATAGTACCCAGAATAGTACATCATACCCGTAACAGCTGTTGATTAACCCTCAATAAATAATAAACTAAATTTCTTTAAATTCTCCTAAATTGTGTATTGTCCACTGGAAAATTATCGGTAGGTAGTAGACTCACCATTAGATAATTGGATAATTG